TTTAGCATACAACTTTCGGTGCAACATTTGTTGTGTTTATTGCACTTCAAATTTAAGAAGGATGTTTTATGCATTAGTATTATTGTGAAGATGCAGTAGGCCACTTTTTGTAGATGAGTATTTGTAATTAGTTTGTCTTGTTCTTGTTATTCACATAGATGCATAATTATATGCTACATGATGCATTCATATTTAAGTGAAATTGAAAGTGTGACAACAGTGTGATGCATATTAGTGGTTCAGTATCGACAAAAAATAGATGCAATATGTGGAAGTGTAAGATGTAGTAATTGTGGTTATTGTAGTTGGAATGCAAAGGAATTTGGTGATGCATAATTATGTGTAAGATGCATAAGTTTAAGAGACATTATGCAGTTTTTTTATGAATATGACTTGTGCTTGTGAGTGATATAAATGCATATTTAGATGCATTTAACCAAGCAAGTTATTACAGTTTTCATAATAGTTAGATTATGAATTATGGTTGTGAGCCATGTAGTATTGCTTACATTTTGAAGCAGTTAAATTGTGGTTTTCGTATGTGACTAGCTCCAAAGTTTCATGTACATATAATAGAAAATCAAAACGAGCATTAAGTGTTAGGAAAAAAAGAAAGCAAGAAGGCGCATCCACAAGCAACTTGCAACAAAAAAAAAGGGCAAAGGGAAGATGAAATAGAGCAAAGGTTAAAAAACTAACTTTTTACGTATAAGATTCATTTGTAAATGTGTAAGTATAATTTTAATTGTTCTATTATATTAATCAGGAAGAGACGCTCCTATGATGAATATGCAGCATGATGATGCACAAAGAAACGAAGTGAGAGGCAAAGGCAAGAAAACAAATTCAAGTTTAACTTTGTGAATTTTAATCTAATAAATTCAGTTTGTTATGTACTGATATAAATGTGTAATGGTAACCATGTAGGTGTGAAAGATAGTGAAAGACTATCACTCACCATGAGGAGGAGGATTAGGAGCATGATGCAGTCAAAAAGTGATGATCATGCAAAAAAATCACAAAATGATGACGAACAACCGAAGACAAAAAATACTATGAGTGACAGTGACGAAGCTTTTGAAAGTCCTCCTAAGTCTTTAAAAAATGTAGGTGGTGCAGTTAAACATCAAAGAAAGAAGCAACACAAGAAAGGTGATTATGAGGAGATCAAGGAAGAATATACAAGTTTGTACAACAGATCATCACCAAATGTGATTGTCAATGCAATATCAAAGTTTAATGACAAGCAAAGAGAAGAGGTCATTAATATAGGTTTTGGAGCAATGTTGCAGCTACATATCCAAGATTTGCCTTTAAGACTTGGATATTGGATTGTAGATAACTTTGACCCAAGGAGTTGCACACTAAAGCTTAATGGTGACAAACTTCATGTGACAGACGAGGATGTTGAGAATGCACTAGGATTCCCTCGAGGAGAAGAAATTGTAGTGAAGAAACTGAAAAAAGAGAAAAGTGCTCTGGCAGATGAGTGGAGGGCTTTATTTGGTGCAAAGGAAAAAATTACTCCAACCGAAGTGGCCAAAGCAATGATAAGCTGCACGAATGGTGGTGAATGGTTTGTGAGACATTTTGTCATCTTATTGATATCTTCATTGATTGAGAACACAAAGAGCGGATATATAAACTATCAGTTCATAAATTGCTTGCAAGACACAAAAGCAATTAAAAATATGAACTGGTGTGAATATGTCATAACCGCTCTAGTGGATAAGAAATTGGAATGGGAAGAAGGTAAAGACAAAGCTTTCACTGGTCCATTGTTGTTCTTAGTGGTAAGTTTGTGCTATATAATGTTGGGAGTGAGAAGTAGTAAATGCATATGACATCTAACATGGTTGTTATTCATATTTATTTGCAGGTTCTTTATGTTGATAGGATGGTATTATTGTATCGAAGGAAAGTAGTAAGGAACTGGCATGCTATAATTGGATGGACATCACAGTTACTTAGGGAGAGAGAAATAGAAGAAATAAAAGCAGGCGGTTTTGGTCTCGGATATTTGGATGAGAAGATGCAGAAGAGGGGATTGACAGTAGAAGAAATGAGTGCTGATCAAGATAAGGTGCACCAATTAGAAGTGGAAGGTGCACAGAACGGTGAAACATCAAGAAGGGAAAACACACAAGAGGTAAACTAATAATTCATAGATGGCATTTTTTAAAAATGAATCTAATATGTCTTATAATGCAGGAGTTTCTGGAAAGATTTGCTGTGAAAACAAAGTTGTTAGCTACGACAACAATTGAAATAATGAATATGGTAGAAGAAGCTCCACAAGTGTTGCAAGGAAATGAGAACTTCAAGAAAATTATGGAGGCTACTAATAAGCTACTTCGGGTAGCCCAAAAGCAAGCACAAAATGCTGAAACAAATGCAGCAACACCGGAGCAGCAGTTTTATGATGAAGATGTTGAAAAGTTTTGGTCAAGTCCAAGAAACATCCAAGCTTTGGTGCAGATGGAGACTGCCTTTGTGAGAAGATCGCAATACATAAAAAAGATGGATGACTGCCTTGTTAAGGGTCAATATATGTAAGGGTCATAAAGAATTGAATATATGATGTTATATATGTAAAAGTTCTAACACGAAAATGTGGTGCAATTTTTTTTCCAATAATGCAATATCATCACGCATACATCATATGTGTGAATACCAAGCTAAAACGTGTGGATATTCTCGATAGCTCATCAGCCGGGGTATCAAACACAAACAAGTATGGAGACATGCTAGAAAAAGTGGTAATAAAACTTGATTTTAGTTATATATGTAATATATATTTATATATATATATATTAATAATGTCTGTATTCTTACAACTGAGTGAGATTCATATAATAAAAGCTATTGTAAAACTGTGTTCCAGGTTGGTATGTTTGTGAAATACTTGGAGTCAAAGAAAATGTTACAAAAAGCAAATACGGTGCGCAAATTGAAGGGTAAGCGACTACCCATGTCTTGGAGAGATCCCAAAGATGTGTATGACTATGGGGTCTTGGCAATGCGACATATGGAGACTTATCGTGGGGAAGGGTTGTTGGGTTGGAGTATAGGATTGAACAGACAGGATAGCAAAGAACTTGGTGCATTAAGACGAAAGTATGTTGCAGCCATTTTACTACACGAAAGCAATGACCTTATGCAAGAAATCATGATGAATGGCAAACAATTTTCAAAGATAACTAAAGCAGAAAGGTTGAATGCAGCATAGCGGGGATTTGTTATCTCAAACATTTGGTTTTTGTTAAGTTTGAGATGAAAAATTTGTTGTGTCGTTTGTTTTTGTGTGGGTGGACACGTGTTGAAGTTCTTACATGAGATTAGTACGGAAACATATGTTAGGATGCATCGTATCAATATTGACCGTTTTGTGTGGGAATGTGAAATCCAAACACTTATTTTACGTGGAATGAAGTTTTATTTTCAGTTCATATGCATATTTATACCTTGTTTAATGCATTGCAATGAGCTATAGTATGGATCATTTTGCATTTCTTGTATATAGAGTATATCAGGACTATGCATCCTTACATGCAACTTCATTACCTGTAAGATGCACTCCGATGAGTTATAATATGCACCATTCATTTTTTGGAATATATAAAATATAAGCGCAGTCTAGTGTGTTAATAGTGTTAACATGAATTTATAAAAATGTTTCTTATAAAAATCCAACTTTGTGATGAATATGATTATATTAAAGATTATATGGTCTATAAGGTGATATTGAAGACTGAAATATGCGGTACATGGGATACAATGATGCATAAATGAGCATTAATGCAAATGGTAAACATGGACTAATAAACCTAATGATAATAACAAAACTTTGAAAACATACACTACAAAACCAATAACATAAAACTATATTAATTTCCAACAGACAGTCGTCATTGTAATGTCAAACAACAAAAATTGCAAACATATACTTTAACTTCAAGCAAGCCTGTTTATTCAAAGGACAATTCCTACTATCGTGATGCCCCATCTCATTGCACGATCTACAAAGCCTTTTGGGACATTGGGATTCTTCCATTGAAACTTCCTTGGAAGACCTCAGCCTACGTCCAGAACCCTTATTTTTGGCCTGCAGCGGGGGATGAACAGTGACTTCAGATGGCACACCAGAACCATAAAATGATTCAATTAATGAATTCTTTGTTGAACACTGACCAACACCTTCATGTAGAGAAAGTAGAATTTGCTTTTGCTGTTTAATTATACCTGAAAATTGCTTCAAATAATTGGGATTATTTTCAACAAGGGCCATACAAGCATATATGTCAGACCAAAGAGTGTTAACAGACATCTTATTGTCCTCTAACAATGAAGTCTGCTCTAATACGGAATCAGAAATTTTAGTGAGTGGCTTCACTAGACCCTTCTTGCACCATCTGCTATTAACCAAATGGTTCGGAATGCGTTCCAATTTCAAGTCCTTTAGAACAAAAAATATGTGTCTACAAACCATGCCAATCCGCTCATAATACTTACAACTGCACACTGCCTTCATATTTGACATGCTCAAGTCAACTCTAAACACCAAATTACGATCATCGGAAATTTCATACTCAAAATCACCATCAACACCATGCACATGCAAAACACGACATGAAAAGCACGCTAAACACAATTCCGACTAGGGATGGACTCGGGTCCGGGCCGGGTCCGGGTCGGGCCTAGGCCCGGGCGGGCCGGCGGTTCAGAAATGGTGGACCCGGGACCGGCCCGGGTAACCACCGGGTCCGGTCCGGGTCGGGCCCATTATCATTTTTTTTGTTTTCCTCTTCCTAATTAACCCCCCTCCCACCCCCAACCCCCAAACCACCCCAAATGGCCCAAAATACCCAGCCCAACCCGAAAATTTAAAAAAAAATTGGAAAAAATAGGTTTTGGCTCGAACCGGGCCCGGGCCCGGCCGGGTCGGGCCTTGTTTTGGGTGACCCGAGCCCGGACCGGAAAACCCACGGGCCGGGCCTACCCGGACCGGTCACTGACCGGGCCACCGGGTCGGGCCGGGCCGGAACAGTACCGGTCCCGGGCCGGATCCGGGTCGGGCCACCTGGCCCGAGTCCATCTCTAATTCCGACTGAATATCATAAAAGACAGAGAGTGTGAATACATCAGACGCATCCTTCTCCATAGATAAAGGAGTATTCAAAACTGGAAGGTAGGACTCAGACTCTGAATTCAATTTATCTTGTGCATGCCTTTGTGCATCCATTGCACTCTCAAATTGCATTAAAAATTCTATTAAACTGAAATGTGGGTTAGTAATCCAGACCGTGATGTTGTACGAAGTAATCCAGCTATAAATAGATCTCTAAAATAAGAAGGTATCCACCAATAGCGCAACTCAAACATATGGACAAACCAATCATGTTTTGTCAATTCGTATTCGTTCATGAGAGAGATCCACTTTTCTTCAAATTGAGATGGTTCAAGGTAATGGCTCCAAACTATTGAATTCAATGAAGACATAAATGTTTCATTTTTGCTTAAAACTGGACCAACCTGTTGAGTGACTTTGAACATAATATGCCACATACAATAGCGGTGTTTGGATGATGTAAATACCTTCTCAATGGCAACACGCATCGCTGGATCTTGATCAGTAATAATGCATGTTGGTTGATGTCCCATAGCATTTATAAAACGAGTAAAAAGCCAAATGTATGACTCCACATCCTCCTTCAATAATAATCCAGCTCCAAAAGTGACACACTTTCTGTGATTATCAACGCCCGTAAAAGGTCCAAACACCATATTGTACCTAAACATATAAGAAGGAAACTATTTTAAGCAACAATAAACTGTTTGGTGCATAAGCTAACAAAGAAATATGCAAGTTATTATGATGTGTAGTGCAACAAAAACACAGAATATATAAAATCGAATTCCCAAAAAACAGAATATAACAGAAACAAACCTATTTGTTCCATAGGTAGCATCAAATGAAACAACGTCACCAAACAATGCATAATTCTTGCGGCAAATAGGATCAGCCCAAAACAACCTTGTTAACTGGTCACTATCATCCACATCATAGTCAAAAAAGAAAGCAGAAGACATCTCTTGGTTCCTGAAAAATTTGTCAATGACAATTTGGGCATCAACACCAGCTATATAAGTCATAAGATCACGCTTGAAATTCTTGAAATTCACAGTTGTAGCACCAATATTAGAATATCCCCCATCAGTCTCCTTATATAGCCGATATGACTTCATTGTGCCAATATTTGCTCTAAAACAATTTAAAACAAACTTCTGATGTCCAAGGTCTAAATTTCTGTTTACCTTTAGAAATTGTTTGGATAATTCAGAGCACATCGAATGATTGTGGCGTTGTTCAAATGCAAAAACTGAGTACCCTTTAAATCCAGAATATTTCAGAGTTTACATGGCTTTACATCCAATCCTATTAGATACTCTTTTCCTATTTGATGGGCAACCTTCAGAACCAGCAACATTGGTATCCGTCCTATTAGACACTCTTTTCCTTTTTGTTGGGCAACCTTCAGAACCAGCAACATTGGTATCCGAAATAGGAGGACAAACATTATTCTTAAAACCAGCTCTACTGCATACAATATACTTCATCAAAATATGCCCATCTCTGGCCTTCTTTGATGTATGATGACGTATAGTAAACCCCAACTCAGCTGCATAGTCTTTGTAAAACTTAAGGGCATCATCTAGATTCACAAATATCATCCCAACAAGAGGTTTCTTTTCGGGTGAACATTCAGGGATCCAATACTTTGAACCCCAGGAGAAATTTCAAAACCACAACTCTGATCTATATAAACAACAAACGATCTCTAATATTAGAAATGAACAAAAATTAATATTAAACAACAATGAAAACAGTAATTCACTAAATGCACCATACAACACATACAAATGCATAATACATATTTTACCCTGCAGAAGACAAACCTCTAACACAAAGAGATATTTCAACAAACAGTAAATTAAGTATTTAATCTGTTTACATTATTGAAGCTGCAGTTTGGAATCGTTCATAATTCATATACAATACACTGCACAAAGAAAACATACCTACGAATTGAAGGAAGGTAACATTAGGAACATTTAATTATGAAATTCGGTTGTGAGAAGATACAGAATAACATCAACCTCTAATACAAATAAAAAAAATAAAAATTGCAAGACCAGAACAAACTTACAAAAACACACGATCAACCTCTGAAATTATTGTGTGTGTATAAAACAGATTTCATGAAAGATATACGAATACCTGATTCCATGGCGCTCGATGATAATGATCATACATCGAATTAACTGCAGCAAGTCGTAATATCGATGAAGAAGACAAGCGCAAAGATGGAATCCATGATCGATGGGAAAGATGGAATGAAAGAATAAAGGAAAGTAGGCGGTTATGAGAAAGGAAATTAACGAACCTGATTTTTGTTCCATTATAAAAGTGGAGTAATTGACAAAAACGCCCTCAATGTTAATTAGTTGGTTGTGAGCCATTAACATAGAAACGAACGGTAATCTTGATTAAACGTATGGTTGAGATTAGTTTGTAGGTTAGTAAGGTAACACTAGTTTGTATTTGATCTCTGTTCCATATATATATATATATATATATATATACACACACACATATATATACATATATATACATAAATATATACATATACACACACACACACACATATATATACACACATATATATACATATATATGTATATGTGTGTGTGTGTGTGTATATATATATATATGTATATATATATATGTGTGTATAGGAGGCACGCACGCGCGCGTGGCTTCAGTTTTTCACCTGGGGCTACTGTCCACCACGCACGGAGGGACGCATGGGGGACACACGCAGGGACGCATGCGTGCGTCACCCCACGCACGGCCGTGCGTCCGGAAATTTTTTCCCGGAGGCCTTCTGCCACCCACGCACGGTAGCACGCGCGCGTGCGTGTAGACGTGTGTGGCGTGCATTGGCCATTTGAAGCCTGTTTTGGCCAAAACTTTCCCGGTTCACCCCCCAGGGTGGACCGTACTCAAACCTTACGACTTACATCATCAATATAAGCCTAGAAACAGTCGGAATTCAGTGTATTACCTGCAACGGAGTCCGGGTTAGCACGTGCATCCGCTTCGGTCATGGCATAGACCCTTGCTTGGGCCCCGCCTTGATTTATGGACGCGGCATTGCTTATGGATGCGTTGCCTCTTCCCGTGCCGCCGTGTGACGGTCTTGCACGGTTCCTCCCCGCCAGGGCTCCCCCTCTGGCCCTCGAAGTCCCTTCCTTCCTCAATTGTGGGCAATTGACCTTCATGTGGCCCGCATTCCTGCATTGGTAGCACCTCGGGGGTGCATTGCACTTCCAGAAATGTTTCTTTGAACAATTGGCACGTTTTGGTGGTCCGGAATGGTGAGACCCGTACGTGTGCCACCTAGAGTCCCTGTTTTTCTTTGCTGGTGGTTCCGGCGCCTTGAACGACCCACCGCCTTCGTGGTTATTCTTACGCGAGTGCTCAGGTGGTCCCGAACTGTGCCACTTCGTCTTCTTCGCCTCCTCGGAGTCTCTCTCCTTCCTTTCATTCCATTGGGTTTCCCCAAGCATACCTTGTTCCACCACTTCACTAAAAGTCATGTGGCGTGAGTATGTGGCCCGGTCACGGATGTCCAACAAGGAATTATATAGTTTTATCTGATGAGTATGTCATGACTTGTAATATGATATTGGGGTTTATTTTGATGTATTTTCTCAAATTCTGGCCATAAATGCCTACATAAATCACTCTTTATTTTTCATTGATGATAATAACCTGTATTGATATTTGTTGATTTATTTTTGTCTTTACCATTACTTATCAATTTTTTGCTTCAATAAGCTAAGGGGTTTAAAACAGCTCCTTCCTTTTTATACATGTAGGTATTGAGCTCATTGTTATTTACAATCCTTTATCAGCACTAGGCAATTAATAAGTGATTCTTTATCATCTGATTTTTTGCCACTTCACATATGATTGTGAAACTCTTTTTCCATCCACGGTAGCAAGTAACTGTCAAATGAATAAGCATATCTTCGCAATGAGTTTATATTTGATCGTTTGTAGAAAAATAATCATAAGGATTTTCAGTGAAACTTTTAGAATTCACAAGCAAACACATGATCCTAGAGCATAAAAATGTCATTTGCTTTGCTGCTATAATTTTTTCCAGTTTGAATGGTATAAAATTTTACAATCTGTTGGAGTGACATCAAACTAACTCTTACTCTCATTTATATCTCTAGCTGTCACTTGACATACGGTTAGTCTAGCTCTGTATTCTTAGGTGCAACTCTCATTTACTCTGATGTTCTGTATGCTCCCCAAGAAGGTTTGTGGGGATATACGATCTTAATTTCAAAAGTGTATACTGCTTAGATTTGTTTTCCTTTCTTTTTTCCCTTTCCCTTATATATGATGTTCGAACATGGTATATCTTTTCCTCAGGCTAAGAAAAAGGCAAGGAGGAACTGTTTAGTAATAGAAGTGCTATATGATGAAACTGAAGAACACCAAGGACCCCAGGGCTTTGTGCTTCAAATCTCTTTAATTGCTACGTCCAAGTGAGTATGGTAAGGAATCAAAATGAGCAAAAAAACAAGAACTTTATAAACAATCTCAACATGAAGAAATTAGCATTCTTTAGATGCAAGTAGTAATTCTTATAAAAAAGATTTCCAAAATACTCGACTTCAAATTACATCAGGTGGTATGATATAATTTGCGGACGCCGACTTTTTTGTCTGTATTACTGAATTTTAACTAGAGAAGTTTTTCTGGCTACGTGGTTGACATTATATTCATATATTTTGCAATTTTGAAAAATTGCTGGACAGAACCGTGATGTAGTTAGATGAACAAACTTCCTTCCTCCTTTAGTAATAGTGTCTAGTGCTCACACATTGGCCTCCCTCCTTTTAATAATATACTCGTATATTTGTAAGTTAATTATACCTTAATGGATTTAACTCTTTTACCTAGAAGTGTAGAGTGTAACTTATCTTCTAGTTTCAAATTGACAATAATAATATTTGAATATTTGATCATCCAATTGATTTCTGTTTACTGGTAAGTGATCACTAGCTAATACAGAGTATGTATTATTTTATGATCCAACAATAATTTTTTCTCTGAGTCTATTATAGAGTTTTGTATGATGCTGTATTGTATGTTTTGTGATATCTTTTAGTAATACAATTAGGTCAATGATTTTCTTTGTTCTAATAACTTTCAGGACCACAATTGGTTTTGGCGGGAGTAGGTTGTCACTTTTCACCATTGGAAGCATAGAGAGATGCAATTTCCTTCCAAATTTAGTTGATACTTTGTACTACATTTGAAACTCACTGCAAAAAGGAGTTGTATTAAGACTACCATATCTCCAATTCTTCTTCTATCATAGGTCCTAGAGTTACATCCCCACGACTACTTTCTTGTTGTTTCCAATCATGAATGTAAATAAAAAAGTTGAACTATGAACTCATTGAACCCTTATCTATGTTGTAATTGTATTCTTTTGTTATGTGTATATTATGTTGCATTTTGTTTCATTTTGTTGCATTTTGTTTCATGTTGTTGCATTTTGTTTCATGTTGTTGCATTTTGTTTCATGTTGTTGCATTTTGTTTCATGTTGTTGCATTTTGTTTCATTTTGTTGCGTTTTGTTTCATGTTGCATTTTGTTTCATTTCGTTGAATTTTGTTGTGTTTAGTACTTATTGTTGTTTGTTGTTGGTTTTTGTTGTGTATTTAGATTTTATATTTATCTTTTCTATTTTTATTGGATAAAAAGCTCACACACACATATATAGTCGCCTAAAATTATAAATTTAGATTCATAAATATAAACAAAAATTAGAAACATAAAAAAACAATAAAAAACAAAAAAAAATCATAATTATCAACAAAAAGAAACACATGTAAACAATATGCAACAAAAGTAAATAATAAAATAATAATCATTCAATACTTTAATTGCTGCAAGAAATATTACATTATAAAATTCATATTTTTTATTTTTTTAATATTTTTATTCTCTGATTTTATTTTAATTTTAAAGTTTTTTAGGTTACACTATTTTTTAATTTTTTAAAATTTTATTTTAGCCATTTATATTTTTCCCGCTGTAATATACATTTAATTTAAATTTTTGAATGATTTCAAAATTTTATATTTATTTGAATTTTTTTATTTGATATGTATATTTTCAAATTTTTTAAAATAACTACTTTTTCATAAAAGATTCCGATTATTTTTCATATTATTTAATGTTTTTATCTTATATTACGTATTTTTAATAATTTTAAGGTTATAATTTTTTTATAACTCTTTTTCACTTTTTTATAATTTTTTTGAATTATATAGAATTATATGCAATCATCTAAAATGATAAATTTAAATTTAATAATACAACCTACAACAAGAAACATGAAGAAAAAGTAAGAAACAAAAATTCAAAGTCATAAACAAAAATAAACCCAAAGAAACAATAGCAAAAAAACCAATAAATATTAAACGTTGTGACCATTAAAAATTACTGAATTACAAAAATCATATGTTTTCCTACTTCAAATTTTACAGGTATACTTGTTTTTACAT